TACAGTTTGGTAAGATCTATGTATCTATTAAATATACCAACGGTTTAGTTAGATCTACATGCCATATAAATATACATTTTAGTCAGGTTCAACTGCTATATGAATATACTTACAGTTTGGTAAGATCTATGTATCTATTGAATATACCAACGGTTTAGTTAGATCTACATGCCATATAAATATACATTTTAGTCAGATCCAACTGCTATATGAATATACTTACAGTTTGGTAAGATCTATGTATCTATTGAATATACCAATGGTTTAGTTAGATCTACATGCCATATAAATATACATTTTAGTCAGACCCATATACTTTATGAATATATTTACAGTTTGGTAAGATCTATGTATCTATTGAATATACCAAGTGGTTTAGTTAGATCTACATGCCATATAAATATACATTTTAGTCAGTCCAACTGCTATATGAATATACTTACAGTTTGGTAAGATCTATGTATCTATTGAATATACCTAGTGGTTTAGTTAGATCTACATGCCATATAAATATACATTTTAGTCAGATCCAACTGCTATATGAATATACTTACAGTTTGGTAAGATCTATGTATCTATTGAATATACCAGTGGTTTAGTTAGATCTACATGCCATATAAATATACATTTTAGTCAGATCCAACTGCTATATGAATATACTTATTTTCTAGTCAGATTTACTTTCCTTATGAATATAATAACAGTTTAATCAAATATTCCTACCATATGAATATACTGATAGTCTAGTCAGATATGTCTATAATATGAATGTACTGATGATTTATTCAAATCTGCCTTTCTTATGGTCATGTTGAGGGTTTATTTTTATAAAAAAATAACTTTATTTTTACTTCATTTTACAAGAAGTACAATAATCACTTTCATCTTAATATTAAGGGCCTTTTACCATTGCATATTTCCTGAGCTTTAACAGGTATTTTTCCTATAAAGTGTTGAAATTGTTCTTATAATCCATCTCAAATTCAGACCATAGATTGAATGTTCTTAGTTATAACTAGTTCGTAATGCTAACTCGCAAAGCTTTTAGTATGTCAGTTATTATTTAAAAGGCTTGGTGGTTAAGGTGCTCGACTCACAATCTGAAGGTCGTGGGTTCGAATCCCTGTCGCCGAACATGCTAACCCTTTCGGCTGTTGGGGGCATTATAAAGTGGTGGTGAATCACACTATTCATTGGTAAAAGAGGAGCCCAAGAGTTGACAGTGGGTGGTATTGACTAGCTGCCTTCCCTCTGGTCTATCACTGCTAAGTTAAGGACAGATAGCCCTCATGTAGCTTTACACGAAATTCAAACAAACCAATCTTATTTTAAGGTATACTCAATAAATTAGACAAATATTTTAGTATCAGTTCTTCATAGTGTCACTAAAATATCAGTTCTTCTTGTATCATTTTGACACATTTTGCTTTTTATGGTGGTGGCTCAGTTACCTGCTAAAGTTTTACTAGTAATTTTCCCTCTACACTAATAATTCTATTTTTTTGTGTAATAGATTAGTCTTTTGGTTCAATAGTTGCCTTCTGTCAATTATATTAGTTAAGGTTTCCTTGTTATTGTTATAAAAGTAATTACTTTTGTCTTCCGTGTTGGGTCATTGTTATAAAAACAGTTTTTACTGCTACTGTTTGTCTCTAGGGTTGATTTAATTTCCCTTGTTATTTTCTTAAAAATAGTATATTTTTTGTTTTCACTGTTCATTCAGTTTTTTGTATTTTCTTAAAAATTTACTAACTGCTATTTTCTGTATTCGGTGTTTATTCAGTCTTCCTTTTTTTTCATGATCTAATTACAATTGTCTGCATTCAGATGAAGGAAGATAGTTTGTGTATATAATATGTTGTTGAAGTTGAATAGATGAATGAAGATAGCTTGTGCTTCTCATTTATAACAACTTATTTTACTACAATTATCACTTACATTTTAAACAAGTAAACAAGAAAAGAAGTAATTTATCAATTAATTAGAATTCACTTTATAAGAGTTGTCAATTAAAACTTGAATATATTAAAATATATTTCACTGAAAGTATTTCAAGAGTAGAAACAGTGGTGTAGCTCAGGTAGGGTAAATAGTCAACTGTCTTTTTAAACCCATAATTTTTTGGGCCAAACGTTTTTGCACATTCCCCTGGAATTATTTTCATGATGTCCTAATAAAATATCTGGTCTGTTTATAGAAGGTGAATAACATGGTTTGGATTAGTTTTCAGTCAAAGAGATGTAAATGTTATTGGATGCTGTCACTGTACCAGGGATAAATTGGAATTTTTGGCTGGATGCTAGCAGCATCTGCTCGGGTTTAAGGAGTTAAGTCTGTTAGGAAATTGTTGTCATGCTGGTAAATAAAAAATAACAATATTGAAAAGGAGAAAAAATGCAAAAGTTGCTTGAACTTATCCGAGAAATGTTTTCCA